CTTTTAACAATAATAAATTTGTCCATGTCATCGAGTGGGAAAAGTGAATTATTTTTTCTCCTCCAATGCACTCTTTCTCTACTACCGTTAAGCTGATGTGTAAATATTAAATGAAAAAAGTGTCGATCTTACTTTGTAGTTTCTCACAGCCAGTTAAACAGTATGCCATAGGAGATAAGGGGTATGGTGCCGCATCTTTAGCGGATTTTAATTGAAAACTTGGCGCAAGATTGTTGCACATAGCATCCGAGTACGAATAGGAAACTCAGTGCACAACTAATTATTTTAATTTAGTTTTAATTTAATTGATGTAAAAGCAAATAAACGCCACCTAGTCTTCACACTTGATTTATTGACAGTGCATTGGACATATTTTTATAATTTTTGATTTGTTAGGCATAACAGTATTATTAGGTGGATAACTTTTCCATTCATCTTTTGACACGTTTCATAGTTTTTGCAATGTTGAAAGTTTAGGATTAGAGATGCTCTAAGAGTTGTTTGATACTGCAAAGTTGCAAGACTTTATAAATTAAACTTTGAAGTAGATCTTTTTGTTTTTCCACTGTGAAGCTGAACTTGTTGCCCTTGTGGTTCTACGTGATGTTGCCCTCGTTGGTGGTGCTCTTTACAAAAGAGCTAACAGTTTGGAATGGAAGGTTAGCCAAACCAGCTATGCTCTTCAGTCCTGTAATTATTCAAATTTCTGATAAATTTTCATTACCAGTGGACAAGTTGGATAGACTACTTCAACCTGGATGGAATGCGTCCGCAGAAAGTAGAGCCACTTATGATCAGCAAGGTATCCACTTTTTTTTCCCACAGATCATTTAGTTTTATTTCTCAGATCATTTAGTTTTCCCACAGATCACTTGTCAGATCATCGTTTAAATGCGCTTATCTCAGTTAAGATGTTTTTACTTGGACTTATTTCAGTCCCAGACTTAAACAAACCAGACCAGACTTAACCGACCAGACCAAACCTTGCCAGTTGTAAAATACACATAGACCAGACATCTACCAAGACCAACAACAACATCAACAACAACAACATCCAAGCCTTAGTCCCAAAAGATATTGGGGTCGGCTAACATGAATCGATACATGATAACACCACCAAAAGGAAAAGAAAGAAAACAAAGATAAAAAAAATAAGCTTAGAACCACCTAGTGAGCCCCAAGTGAACTTGACAAGAGCTTTGCAACTTAAGTGTTGGTGGAGGGGAAATAGAGAGAAAAACTGAAGGTAACAAAATGTGGGGGATAAAAGATATGCTCAATTTTTATTTGTTTGTTTATTTATTTATTGAAGGAGAGTCTTGGTGCACCGGTTACAGTGTTGCTATGTGAGTATGTGACCAAGAGGTCACGGGTTCAGGTCGTGAGAACGGCCTCTTGTCAAAACAACAAGGGAAGCCAACTTGCAGAGACGTCAATGTGCACTGGGTTGCAGTATTTTTCCTATAGAGCTTTATTATAAAAATAAAAGGAAATCTAAATCTATAAATAAATTTTGTAAAGAATTAATCATATCCCATTTTGCAGTATCCAAGGTTAAAGTGTTAAACTGAACATTACAAATTAACATTCATTGGCATTTTTTAGGCTGTTTGGTGAACAGTGGAAATGGACTAAATGGATGAATGTTCTGAATTTGGGCTGAAATGGCGGAATCTGCTGAATTATAAAAAATAGATTTAAAATACCGAGTAGATTTTTATTAGAATAAAGAAAATAAATTATATGAAAGGGGGTTACATTATCACGTTAAGTTAGAAAAGTAAATTTAGTCTTACTTTTTTTTATTTTACACAATTCTGTATGTGAAATAAATTTTTTGGTATTTAGTAAAAATTGGCTGAAAAGACTGGTAAACTGAAAAAGGGAGTAACTGAATAGTTCTTTATCTAGATCCAAACATACCCAGGTCGGTGATCATGCTAATATGGTTTGGTGTTGACAGATAAATACTTTCTTCCAATTGGTATTAGTTGCAGCAGCCCTACTCCAACCTGAACTGGGCAATGCGGAGACCCAAACATATATCAGCTATATCAGGTAAACTTATAACATCAGATGTAAATTCATCTAGACAGATTGTGTAGAGTTTTTTTGCATTTTTTACCAACCTTGTTGATTGATTTGCAGTTGGGTAGTTATGCTAACCACAGTAACTTCAACTGCTGCCTATGGATCACAACACCTCAGGACTGGCAGAGTGTGAAGGCAATGTTCTTTTAGTAACAGAGATGCCTCACTAGTGTAGATTTGCAACTAGCAATTTTACAATGCAAGAAATGTTGTAGGAGTTCACAAGTGTAGAATTGCAATTAACAATTTTACATGCAAAAAATGTTGTATGAGTGCTTGAGTTTAACGAAAGTAGGCTAAAGTCTCTTGTAGACCAAAGTAACAATAAGAATAATATTATTCAAATGCTGCCTTTATTTTTTGAAAAATAACATCAAAGTGAAGAAGAATAACAATCTCTTGTGCTTCTTGAATGTCTTCGGAACTTTAGTTTTCTAGAAATTGTAAGAACGAAATCTTTAAATATATACCATTTCAGAAGAACACAAATTCATGTGTTTCTTCATTGTAAGTTGTGTGCGGCTTTTTGGTTTCTTTTTCTTTTTATGCGTCAAACCATGTTCAACAGAATTAATCTCTTCTCAAATCTCAAATGGCGGATTGGCGGTGCTAGGCCTGGACTCGGGCCGGGCGGCCCGACCCGGAACTGGCCCGGCCCGGCCACTGTAGCAACCGGCCCGGTCCGGTGGCCCGGTCCACCGGCGGTTCGGGACGAACCGGCCCGGTGGTTCCCGGGCCCGGGCCCTCCATATGGTGAACCGGCCCGGCCGGTTCGGGCCCGGTCCGGGCCGGATTTTAATTTTTTTTTTTTTGAAAATTTTTTTAAGTCTTGGGTTGGAATAGTTATTTTGGGCCATTTGAGGTGGTTTGGGGTTGAGGGAGAGGGGTAGGGGATTAAATAGGAGAACCAAAAAAAAAAAAAATTAGACCGGTTTGGCCCGGCCCGGCCCGATTAGGCCCGGAACCGGAACCGGCCACCGGCGGTTCGGGCTCGGGCTTCCCCTTTCCTGGCCCGAGGCCCGGCCGGGCCCAGGCCCGAACCGGCCCGAGTCCAGCACTAGGCGGTGCACACATTCTGTGGATACCGGGTCATGGTTTTTCTCGAGTCTATGATGGCTCTGCTGCCTCCATCCGGCTAGATTTAGATGACATCTTCACCACAGGATCTAATGATTCTAATCTCAAGCCGTTGTAAAAATATTAAATGAGAATGACAAGGATGACATGATCTAACCTTGTCTATATTAAGATATCTTTTGACAAAAGAGAATTATCAACACAAATTAATCACTAAAAAGATTGATAGAATATGGTTTAACACATTGTTAATGGAAAAAGTGGTAGAGTAATGAATAATGTAGAAAAAGTATAAGAGAGAATATAAAAGTATGAAAAGTAAGATAAAAAGTAGCAAAAACAAGAATAATTGAATATTTTTAAAGGAAAAATTTATTAAAAGGGGAAGGGAAATTACCCTAAATGGGACCAAAAAATGTTTTGTAATTCCAAAATAAGATTGTAATGTTTTAATTCCCTAACTTTGCTAAATTTGATAAACATGCAATATTTTCCAAATTTATTACTCTGATCGTTTCTTAAAACTTTGCCAATTTTCTTTTTTCGATTGTGTCACTAACTTTATTTTTTCCCTTTTAGTAAAGAAATTATGGTTCCAATTAATCCCCTCTCATTATAAAAGTAGTGTTTACGTTTTAAATAATACTCGGTAACCAATTTCTTCTTCACACAGCGGCGGCATGGAGGGCAGTGTCAATCTCTATAAATCGATTGATTGTGGCGGAGAGGGGATATCAATCCTTGCTTCTAGCGTTAATCTTATTCAGAGTTTATGGATTCGCGTTCTGTCTCTAGGGTTTCATCGCTAGAGTTTTATTTGTCTGCTATCGTCTTTTGGCGAGGAGCGGTGCCATCTTTCGACAATTCGTTTGTGGATAGGGAGATTCGGCTGGAGGCGACTCAAGGGCAAATCAAAGCGATGAAGAAAGAAGATGAATGGAAGGTGATCCGACCCCCTCCTGAACCACCGCCGGTGATTCTTGGAAGGCTGAGTGAAGAAATTTATTTTTTGCTTTTATTTATTTTAATGGTCTGAATTTGTCTGTGTTTGTTTGTTATTTTATCTCTTTCGATTGTAAGACTGTTGTTTTGAATTGTATGTGGGTGATGATTTAACTGTGATTACCGTCACTGACTTAGTTGTGTCCATCAATGAATCAACGAGTTACTTTACCGAGGTGATTAACTCTGAATCTGATTCGCGGGATGACGGTTTTCTTAAGTTATATTGTCGTTTTACCTACTCTCCGAATATTTTGATTTTAATATAAGCTGCTTTCATCCAAAAAGAAATTAATCTCCTCTCATTTGCACAAATTTGTACCACACAAATTTTACTTTATTAATCTCTGTACCGATCAAATTTGGCAAAATTTAAGAGACAGAGAAAGTAGTAGGATTTTTACGTAGTTTAAGACAAATATATGTAAAATAGGAGGTTTTTTGTACTATAGCGGTACTGTAGCAATACTGTAACAATATTATAGCTACTTTTTGGGTGAGTTTATTTCAAAAAAGAGAACGAGACATTTATTTTGATACGTCCCAAAAAGGGGAGGTGTGTCAAAGTAAATAGATACGTAGCAATTACTCCCTGCGTCTTGCTATGATTGTCCCATTTTACCTTTTCGGTCCGTCCAACTAAGATTGTCTCATACCTTATTTGGTAAAATTTGTGTGGTTCTAAAGCATTCCTACTTTATTCTTACTTAATCAATTCAATATCAATCACATAAACTCATTTTTATTAATAATCGTGTCACCTTCTCGTGTCCCAAACTTAGGGGACGCTGGTAGTATATTTAACTTCTACAAATTTTTGGGGCTATTTACCGAGCACAAATGTACAAATGCACCTTTATCTTAGTCAATTACTCCGTATTACTGTATCCTTCATTTTGACATTGGCGGGGAAGACAAGTGAAGGTCTGAGATTCAGTCAAGGCCCAGGGAAGAAGGCTATGAGTAGTGTGCTGTCTTATCTCACCATCGGCGTCGAGTCGTCACCGCCGGTGAACTGGTGGGACAAGATAAACGAATCAGTTAAATGGCAAGACGGAATCTTTTATTCACTCTGTGGTGCCTACGCTCTCGTCTCTGCCGTTGCCCTTGTATGTATTACACCTTCAATCTCATATGCTCTTCTTATCTGTACTATGCATCAATGGTTGCTTATGTTTTTGGGGGGAAATCCTAATATTTTGAGCTTGAGGATTTGTTTATTTTGGAGATATTATAACTAACTAAAATTTATAGGTTATTGTCTTTATTAAAACCAATTTGAATCGTGTTGGCTTCTTTAGCGTTTAGAGTTGAATTAAATAATGTTTATGCTATAATCGCTGCCAGTAAAGATGATGAGTTATAGCGTTTACTTAGCTGCTTTTTGCTTTTTTTTTCTTTTCCCCGTGTCGTTTTTTTTAGCTTGATGATAGTATCCTATATATTTATTTTGTATCCAACTATCCATGTTGAAGCTCTAAAGGAACGTACAGTACTTTAGAATAGCTTACAGTCTCATCAGAAAACTTCATAAAGTATTTCATGTGGTGAAGTTTTTTTTAATGCGAACACTGTTTTGCTTGTTTGTTTGATGATGTAATGGCCCAACTTGTTATGGTGCCATCATTCATTTTTCCTTCATAGACACAGCTATGGATCCTACTTAGAACTGATCAGAAAATTGATAGTTATCCTTCATATCGATTTCATAAACACCACCTCTGTCCAACTGAGATTGGGACATGAGGAAGTGTTGTGATAATTAAAAAAGTGCGCGGGAAAAGTAGCAAATCAGCCCCCGAACTAGCTTAATAAGTGTAAATCACCCCTTATATAGTAGGTTCTGTCCAGCCGTCGCCATTTGGGGCGGTTCCCGATGGAATTTTTTGATGAAATTTTTTGAGCATCTTCTTCATTAAGTCTAGTTTACCTATACCAAATTTCAGCTAAAAATTCAACCGGGAAGGCAGTCAAATGATTTTCTGAAATATACTGTGGTGTTTAACCACACAGTTATCTTCAAAAATTCATCAAAAAAAATTTAGTTGAACTTTGGTATGGGTAAACTAAACTTAATGAAGAAGATGCTCAAAAAATTTCATCAAAAAATTCCACCTGGAACCGCCCCAAATGGCGACGGCCGGACAGAGCCTCCTATAAAAGGGGTGATTTGCACTTTTTAAGTTAGTTCGAGGGCTGATTTCCTACTTTTCCCAAAGTACGCTTATGTGGTTGGATAAAGTATGAACAAAGAATAAATTAGAACCATACAAATTTTACCAAATGTGGTATGGGAATTGGGACAAACTTAGTGGAACTGACAAAAAAGTAAAGATGGGACAAAGATACTATATTTGTAGCTAATTATGCTTTCCCCACCCAGTATTTACTCTTGCATCTGGTTTTAATGACTTACAACTATTTGAGTTGACTGTGCAGATTCAATTGACTTGCTTCTAATTATGCTTTCCCCACCCATGGTTAACAATGTATCAGCAAGTGCATTGCTCTGCAATTAGTTTTTTCTGTAGCTTTAGAATCTCAAATGCGTACACCAACTATCAGTATGTTCCTTTACTAAGCACAAAAAACTTCGTTTCCTTCATGATTTTTCAAGCTACCGTACTAGCAATAGAATTTGGATTAAATCAAGCCTTATTTCAAATATAGTATCTACATAACTATGATTATATGGTAATATGGTAGCTTTTGTTCTTAAATGACAGATCCATGAGAAGAGAGACTATATTTAAATGTCCTATATATATATTGCTACATGAATTAATGCACTGCTTCACTTACATCCCATTCATCATGTAAAACCCTTTGATATTTGTTTCTTATTACGAAATACACTGAGTCACTGAGTATTTAATACTTGTTTCTTTTTACGAAATACACTGAGTATTTACTCTTGCATCTGGTTTTTATGACTTACAACTATTTGAGTTGACTGTGCAGATTCAATTGATAAGAATTGAACTGAGAGTGCCTGAATTTGGCTGGACAACACAAAAGGTCTTTCATATCATGAATTTCATTGTAAATGGAGGTAAAATAGGGCAATACCTTCATCTCTCATCCCTGACCTTTTCTTCTTCAACTTATTTATGTTTGATTCTTCATTGTTGCAGTTCGTGCTATTATCTTTGGGTTTCACAAACAAGCCTTTCTTTTCCACCCGAAGGTATATATTAGTACTTTCCCAAGAACAGTTCTCAATTTTTATTGTACTTATGTCACTCATTGTTAGTTGGTTTCTTCTAGTTAGGTGTTTAAACATTAAGAATGAACCCCATTCCCAAACTAATCTTATCTCTTCATATTTGTAAGATATGCAAAAATGGAAAGGTTTTATTCAAGTTTTTTTAACTGTAAGGCGTAAAGCAATAACATATTTTTTTCGAATAACAACCCCCTTGTGATAGGTTTATATTCCCAATTTTTACTCTAGTCTTGATGTATTCATGATCCTTGGGTCTGAAGACTTTGAGCTTGCTTGGAATTGCTGAAGTATTAGATTATTTTGATAATCAAATATATATATAATCGGTTATCGTTGTGATCAAACATAACCAGAAGTGATCTGAGAATGCAGAGGTATTAATTTTGTTTTGGTGAACAAAGGATCAGCTTATACATGGCAGAAGGGTGTGCAAGAAGCTCGGAAAAAATAAGCTGTTGAATAAAAACATCGTTAACAAAATTTCAGATTAAATATGATAGGTTTGTTTTAAATAAGTAGAGTGTAGTTTATTGGTTTCAGTTGATGCTCCCAAACACAACGTTTTTTTGAAAGCAGCTTTTATGAAAAAACAGCTTATAATTTTGACTATAAGCTGTAGCAAACGCGCTGTTTGTGGTTTATTAAATAATTTGATGATCCTAATGAAGAACATAACGCATTGTAGCCATTTCTTTATTGTTTTCCTTTTTGACATATTTTGGGTTCATGCTATACTAACCAGGTGCTAACTTTGGCGCTTTTGGACCTCCCTGGGTTGCTCTTCTTCTCAACATATACACTTCTTGTCTTATTCTGGGCAGAAATATATCACCAGGCTAGTAAAATTGCTCATCTTGGAACTTCTTGCAAAGCCGATACATCTTTTGCTGTTTTATTAACTTTTAACCCTTATTACATATTGTCAGGCCAGAAGTTTGCCAACTGATAAACTCAGAGTCCTATATATATCAAGTAATGTTGTAATATACATCATACAAGGTGGTATATGGTTGTACCTCTGGATCAATGAGAATCAGACTGTGGAGTTTTTTGGAAAGATATTTATAGCAGGTAACTTTTTATACTCCCTCATGCGCACAAGTAGGTCTGCATTTTCTTTTGTCCACCTTTGAAAGATTGTCCTGTTTTTATCATGTGTGCATTGAAGTATTTAACTTGCCATTTCCAGAATTCTGAGATAGTAGTATTTGATCAACAAACCTTCTGAAATACTTCTTCTTCATCATTACCCCAGTGCCGCAAAGGCTCCCACCTACGCTGGGGTAAGGGGGGTCGGATGTACAGGGAGACTGTTTTCGGATGACCCAATGCGAAAATTGCATAGACTGACTACTGCTTTATAATATAACAAAAAAGCGTAGACGGTTTAGTGAGCCATTTTGCTTTATTCCATCATATTCTCAAGCCAAAAAATAGTGAGTCTTTGGCTCCATTGCAAATGATGGAGGGAGAATTTATGTATGTGAAAAAAGTCGATATGTATGGGGAAATTATATTTGCGGGTATGTATCCTTATGTTTCACTTGTTCAAACATTTCACATGTTTAACAGAATATGAATGTGAAAAAAAATCTATCAAATCTACGCACTTTCAAATTTTAAGATTTGATATAAAAATGAGTTAATTCCCTAAATAGGACTAAAACAATGAAAAAATGCACAAATAAGACTTCAAATCTACGTACTTTTAAATTTTAAGATTTGATATATGACAATTAATATAAAAAAATTTCATTATTTTAAATATAGTCATTTAGACATTATTCTTAAAAGCAGGCTGCACCAGAATCTTATCTGTACACTATACAATTTCTCAATTTCATACAAGCAGAATAAATTCTAAAGGATTTTTAAAAATCAATTTATCATAGAGCAAAAGATTCTGACTTCCTTTTTATATGACTCATAAAAAGGGGATGTAGAATCAACTCCAAACACCCTTAAAATAATGAAGAGTAAAGAATGAGCACACAAATACAGATGTACCTGAATATGGGCACCTGTTGTTGCTTGCATGTTTTTAATGGTTTCTCTGCCTTTTCCAATAACAAGGCCGACCTATACATATGCTAAGTGATAGTACAAAAGGAATTGAAGTATTTCAGCAAAAAATTTACCAATTTAATAGCATATACCTTGTTGTTAGGAATTTGCATCATGTATTGCTCAGCTCCACTATGCTGTCCAGTTAACCTTCGTGAAACAATGCCAGTCCCACCTGAATCAGCCTCAGAAAGAACGTCTTGAAAGAGAGGAGAATTAACCTTCTGAAATACTAAATAGTACAATTGAGAATTGCATACAGAATTGTTCCTTCCAACTGACTTAGCAGTTCCTCCCTCTGTCTGAAAGAGAGTCATTTTTCAAACGATTTTGTTTGTCCCGTAAAAGATTCCAGTCAATATAACAGATGAAAATTTCCAAAAGTAAAGGTTACAAACAAGTTCAGTTTGATAAATTTAGTCAGAAAAAATAAAAAGATAAGTTGGATTACATGAGTTTTAAGAGCCATATCTCGCCAAAATTAAAATTACACCTTGACCAAATAGGGATCTTTTATTTTTTGGGACAGAGGTAGTATTTCTTAAGTGATAGTCTTATGTCATCCAAATCAATTGCATAATGGTTGAAATTTTCATTTGTAAAGTCTGAGAAGTGGTGATGGTTACCTTTTTTTGAGCTTGGTTGGATGTTTACCATCATTTTTCTGTGTCCAGTTGTTTCACTCATAGCAGCTTTGGGATTCTTGTTCTATGGTGGAAGGTAAATGACCTCATCAGTTTCCAAATGCATTATTGTTATTCTTTGTATCTGTTAGTGTATTGGCTTCTTCATTTATCATTACATTGTTTGTTTTAGGCTATTTGTCATGCTGAGACGCTTTCCTATTGAGTCTAAAGGAAGAAGAAAGAAGCTTCATGAGGTCTGTTCTGGGTATATCTATGTTGTTCTACTGCTACTTGGCGGGTCTTGTTGATAATATTTGTGTATCTTGGGCTCATATTAAATATGAACTGAACTGCTGTCCATTGTGACCTTACTTATTTAACTTATTTTGCAGGTTGGATCGGTAACAGCCATATGTTTCACGTGTTTTGTCATAAGATGTTTTGTGGTAAGACTTCAATTAGACAATTATCTCTTGCCTTTGACATTTTTCTAGATATTTTTGGTTGGAACAAGATTCTTATTTACTCCCTCCATCCCATTTAAAGGTTCTCGTACACTATTCTCCGGTCAACGTGCATTGTTCTTAATCTTTTACTTTATATATCGAAAGTTTATGAAATTTAAATTATTTTTTGCAGGTTTTGTAGCGGTTTTAATGTAGTTTCTGAATATGTAAATTTTATTTACTAAAAATAATTCTATTAATGACAGGAATCATTTAACTTTATGGTCAGTCAAACATCGTAAATCGTGTGGGAACATTAAAGTGGGACGGAGGGAGTATGTTTCATGGGCATGCTAAAGGAAGAAGAGGATGTTTCTTTACGCTACTACGGAGCATTTAAAGAATGAAATTTTAAGAATGATTGTCACGGCAGCTAGGCGCCAGCCTAGACCACAAGTCATGCCATATGCAATATATATAATAAAATTATATATAATAAGAAACAATAGATTATTTATCTAGAAAAAATGTTCAATATAAATTTTCACAGAGAAAATCAACATAAAATAGGTAATACTCAGTAAAATGATGTATGTCAGACGTTTACTAGCAAAGATTAAACGATTTGATAAATGGACTCCAGCTGAACATGAAAAGAAAGAAAGAGTAGCAGAATTGTACTATACATAAAACAGTATACAGTAAAAACTACGTAATACGGAGTACATTTAAAAAAAATATGGAGTCCAGCTATCTTCAAAAAAAAAGTGAAAACAGTCAGCGGCCTTACAAAACGGGAGGAACAAGAGCAAATGGAGGTGGGGGTGGAGTAGTGGTGGTGTTATACAATAGCAACCTGGGGAATAGCTGAAGTGCCTGTTTGACACCCTGAATTAAAAAAAATGAAAAGCATTGGGTAAATCAATTTCAGCCTAGGTATTAAGTTAAAATCTGTGTTCTGCTTACTTTAGTGATTGGGAAAATAACTGAATAAGGCAGACGAAGCTACCATAGGGAGCCTAAGTTTCCAATGTTGATGCCGTAAAGACAATTTAATCCTGTTTCGTAAAGGTAAATTTTTGCTAAAAGAGTGAAATTGTTGATTTAAAGGTCGGTAACGAAAGTGTAGCTGACATAATTATATGAGTTTATATATCTAAATAATAATTTATTTCATAAATTAAAGAAAATAATAAAGGTGAAAGTGTCATTTCACTCGTTCAAAAAGAATTTTTTTAGCACTTCTCTCTCTATTATGATTCAATTCAGACAACGAATAAGTTAATGTTTGCCTGTTCGGTGGAAATTATGACTTATAAAGCTGGTTTAGCAGAAAACTTCTCCTACCATACGGGGTCTTAACTTATAGATTCCACATATAGATGCTCGTACATATTGCTTCTTGTGTTTCTGCAGGTTGTATTGTCTGCTTTTGATTCTGATGCATCACTCGATGTATTGGACCATCCAGTGACGAATTTCATATATTATGTGGTATGCATGCAGTGGAATTTATAGTGTTCCTTAATCAGTTAATTAATATTGAATCACTCTGGTTACCGATCAAGTGATCCTACTCAACTTTTTTTTTTGTTTTTACACAGCTAGTGGAGATTCTTCCTTCCGCTCTTGTTCTTTACATACTGCGCAAACTGCCCCCCAAAAGAGCATCTGCACAATATAACCTCATACGTTAGCTGCACTAAGAGTGAATTTGGTTGGAGGATTTGAGAAGGAAGGTTTGATTCTTGTCATAATAGTTTTTTCTCTTATCTGTCGGTCCTAGACTAGTAAATAAATAACTATTTGCTTTTTGTTAAATCATGTAATTCTATATAAAATTTCATCTTCTCTTTATTGTCAACCATCTAAATGTAAAAATAAACTATTAAAATATAATCACCATTCCCTCTGGCATCCCCCAACCAAACAAGTTTTTATTGTCCTCGGGGGAGCAATGCTTGTTTTCCCAAGTAGACCAGAAAAAAAACCCTGGAGAAAATAGGTGCATGTGCTTTTAGTATTAGCCTAGAACCAGCTTGTTCCTATTGGGTAAGTGTAATGTTGGCACAATTGTTTGTACTTGTACATTCTGGACAAGCAAGTATGATGTTACAATGACTAACTTCTCATTGCATGGTCTATGGGCATCTGATGTGAGATTGAACTACGACTCATCCTGGAGGACCCCTACAAATAACAAATATGAACATGAAACTCTTGATATTTCACCTTTGCAAAAAGCTTTGATTTTCTGGGATCCTTTTTCGTCCACCATTGGTTGATCAGATTTGGTAAGAATTGAGGGATTGAGCTCTTTTGGGTTATGCTATTTATACATGATTGTTGTCCTTCATTTTATAGTTGTACTGTTGTACACATAATTGATGTACAAGTTGTTTTTCAGGATTCGTCTTTGGTATATGTGCACATACATAACTTTTTTATGTTCGTGTTTGTGTGAATATAAAAAGTGATATTGACTGTTTAAATGGCGTTGGTGTAGAGATTGGTGTAAAAAAAAAGTATTTTCCAGCTATTTTACCGTGACTTTGGACGCACCTTTTTTACTTTTAGTCAATGATAAAAACATTTTGTTCCTTTCAAAATTTCCAATCTAAATTTTCATATGCAGGGATAAAATGGTTATCAGTTTCTTTGCCGTGTGCTTGAGTGCAAAGTTGCAGAAAATCAAAACTACCCATGATCCATTTTGTTCTCTGCAATGGCAAAACTTCTCACAATCTCACCCATGTTTTGTGCAACCATATCCTTCACTTTTGTGCAGTAATAGGGCTACGTATTAAACTCTTTCAGATAAAACAAAGAACCGATGATTGGATCCTCTTGTCACACACAAAGGAGATCCCAACACGCATTTACAATACATAGATGGTTTGTAATTGAGAGTTGGAGTGACCTTACTATTTGAGCCGCACATATATGAAGAATTTCTGCTGTCTTACAGCTTGAACACCTCAATGAAGGAACCCTTATATGGCTAAGAACCCTAAATTTGAATGATTGGAGAGAGGATGAACTTACTTGAGCTTTAGATAGATGGCTGGTACCTTTGGGTCTTTGGCAAAACCCTAAAGTCCGAATTCATAGATGGATAACACAACTTAATAGGATAGTTGTTCGAAGTTTCTCACAATTCTCAGCCACAACTAGTCCTGGACTCGGGCCGGGCGGCCCGGCCCGGTTACTATTTGGCCCGGCCCGGCCCGGGGCCCGGTGGGTCCCTCGGTTCGGTTCGGCCCGGCCCGGCTGCTGGGAGGTTCGGGCCCGGGCCCAGGTTTTGGTGAACCGGCCCGGCCGGTTCGGGCCCGGTCCGGGCCGGATTTTAATTTTTTTTTTTTTTTTTTGAAATTTTTTTAAGTTTTAGGTTGGATTAGGTATTTTGGGCCATTTGAGGTGGTTTGGGATGGTTTGGGGTTGAGGGGGAGGGGTAGGGGATTAAATAGAAGAACAAAAAAAAAAATATATTATTGGGCCGGTTCGGCCCGGCCCGGCCCGGCCCGGTTTGGCCCGGAACCGGAACCGGCCACCGGCCACCGGCGGTTCGGGCTCGGGCCTCCCTTTCCTGGCCCGAGGCCCGGCCGGGCCCAGGCCCGAACCGGGCCCGAACCGGCCCGAGTCCAGGACTAGCCACAACCACAACTTAACAGGGATAGGGTAAAGAGACATTTAACTTGACCCTATATTTTGGGGATAAGATGCAATCGGGATGACTTGGAAAAAAATTCCAGATTTGACAAACGTACTTGTCCATGTAGGAATGTAGGATTCCATTGGTAAGTAGGGGTTGGGTTTCGGTCATCTAGACCCGTCAGATGGTTTAAAGATTGTAGACGTGTTAATGTGGCAGTAAGCGGGTTTATGTGATGGTTTCAGAATAGTAGAAGGGTCAATTTGATCTTTTTCCAAAAGCTTATAGTTAATAAAAAACGCATAATAGCTCACACAATTATCTTTTCAGTTTTCACTTAGTTAGCATTTTAATGTGAGAAACAAATATCAGTCCAGATTAAAAATCTGATCAAGAAGACAAGAAACAGAAAAATAGGACTCCAACTAACACATCACATACGGATAGGGGTGTGCACCGGTCCAAAACCGGACCGGACTGGACCGGAACCGGTTTGGACCGGAACCGGAATCTTATTTTTATAAGGACCGGAGACCGGACCTGATACTAACCGGTCCAGACCGACCCGGACCTGAATTTTCCGGTCCGGTCCGGTTTTAACCCTGTTTGACCCGGTTTTTAAAAAACGTATATTATCTTAGACTGTTGTTCTAGACTATAATATGATGTGCAAATATGCTATATGGACTAAATAATTGTTTCATTCATTTATCAAATTTGGGAAGTAATCTCATGTACAAATATGTTAAATAAGTAAATAAAATACAATAGACTAAATAAAAATTAAACTACATCCATAATTAATAGACCAAGGCACACCTGCAGTCTACAAAAAAGATGTATAAACTACATATAAAGACCTTAGTGCACACACCTTGCTTTTAATTTGCTTGTATAAACCACATCCACAGTGAAACAAATTTAAAGCAGCCTAGTAAATAATTCGATACTAAATGACTTTCTATATATTGCATGTAAAACAATCTGGATTGTTGTTTCAAATCATAGCAAAAGTATTTATGAAAATCAAGTCCCGTAAAAAACAAAACATAGTGCACCAACTCTCTTATTTACTATGTATGTAATTAACCAATGACACAGACCGAACTCAACGAAGCATATATTTTTCGGAGCAATAACTTAACGGGTCACCGGTCCGGACCGGTTTATTCCGGTTTTGACCCGGACCGGACCGGAAACCCGGAATCGTAAAATTCTAAGGACCGAAACCCGGACCTGTTTATACCGGTCCGGACCGGTCCATTCCGGTCCGGTTCAGGTCTAAAATACGGTCCGACCCGGTTAATGCACACCCCTACATACGGACATACGGTGAGTCGGTGATACACATGAGTCGTTTTTAGATAAGTTCGTGGCCAAAAAGGCACTAAGGTAGTGTTTGTGATTTTTGGGCTACACATAAAACCATCAAAATGGGCCCAAACCCGCGGGTTGGCCCGTTTAAACCTATTTCTTGGTGGGTTAGGGTTGTGAATTTTTTATCCATTTAGTTCGCGGGTTTCGCAGGTCAACCCACGCGGGTTGGGAGTTTAGTTGGTTGGCCCACACGGGCTGCGGGTTGGCCCGCGAGCCAATATACAAACATATAGTTTTGACTTTTATTATCTTCAATATTGTTCTTTTACTACCAAAATTATTATAATTATAATGAAAAAAGTACAACCATTGCAAAGTTCGATACAATATTTGTTGAAACATATATTTTGTGTAAAGTTCGATTATAATTAAAAAGTTGAAACATATATTTTGTGTAAAGTTCGATACAATATTTATCAATTAGTAGTCATGATTTCCAAATAATCAATCAAAAGGTTTAAGAAGATCTCTACTTTTATACAATGAGTGTTTTTGCTACATATCCTCTTATAGAGTTATAGTTTTGAATTTCTCGTATAACTAGTATTTAATATTTTTTTTAATAAACTTAACAAGTATTTTTTTAATAAATTTAATATTTTTTTGATTTCTTATATTTTCTTTAATACTACTTAATAATATAAATATATATTCTAGTGTAAATTTTTTTAGAGAATTTTTTGTCACATATTTTTTTACATTGGCCCACGAGTGACGGGCCAACCCGTCAACTCACAGATTAGGTGTGTTGGGTTAGGGTTGTAGAAATTCTGACCCGTCAATAAACGGGTTGGCCTGACCCAACCCACATAAAGCATAACTGTTACGCGTCGGGTTGGCCCGTTTGACACCTCTAGGTACATATGGTTGGAGAAATGCTTGTTAACATATCACATACACGGGAAGGATAGCCTGAAGTAGGGGTGGACTCGGGCCGGTTCGGGCCCGGTTCGGGCCTGGGCCCGGCCGGGCCTCGGGCCAGGAAAGTTGGGCCCGAGCCCGAACCGCCGGTGGGCGGTTCCGGTTCCGGTTCCGGGCCAAACCGGGCCGGGCCGGGCCTAACCGGTTATAATTTTTTTTTTTTGGCTCTTCTATTTAACCCCCAACCCCTCCCCCTCAACCCCAAACCACCCCAAACCACCTCAAATGGCCCAAAATACCTAATCCAACCCAAAACTTAAATAAAATTCAAAAAAAAAAAAAAAAACTGGCCCGAACCGGCCGGGCCGGTTCGCCAAAACCTGGGCCCGAGCCCGAACCGCCCAGCAGCCGGGCCGAACCGAACCGGTGGACCCACCGGGCCCCGGGTCGGGCCGGGCCAAACAGTAACCGGGTCGGGCCGGGCCGCCCGGCCCGAGTCCACCCCTAGCCTGAAGTGACCACCATTGAACATTAGACACAATCCATATATGAAGATTAATAGGATATTTAAACATGACCTATCTAGATGAGGGTTGGACCATTTATTTTGATGTTATATATGTTAGCACGTGCATAGATGGCCAGTGTTGTACATTTTTCAATATATTAGTAAACATTTTGACATGATGCTCAATAGTGTACATAAGTTACGGGAAATTCTATTTGCAAACACTCCTTTATTAAACACATCACACATTTTCTTAAATTCCCACCCTACCCTTATTATGTGACCAAACACAGTTACACAGCCTCGGCAATGGCACAACCACTGGGCGATGCATGATGCAACAAAACTTTACTAATAATGATGATGATGGCTAGTGGCTACCCTCCTCAATGCTCTTAGTGCATTTGTGATAAAGTGGCAAAAAAAAAGGATTAAGTCTATTTGATATGTGGGGCAAGATTTAATTAAAAGGGATTGTCTATCAAGATAATATTCCAATTGAAAGCAAAAACATTTAAATAAGAGAAAAGCTTTATAATGGGTATAGAGGGTGAGACCCAAGGTCCACAAATGGACCTTGTCCTAGACCTTAGTTCATTTTTTCAATTGACATGTCACCTAGACTTGCTCTATTTTATTTTGCATTGGAAATGAGATTTATATTTAAAAAATGCAATTGATGATGTGGATCTACAATGGACATCTCCATTGGAGATGCCCTAACTATAGATACACACATGTACAAATGTAAAGTTACAGAGTAATTAGGAATTACTCCCTCTGTCCCGCTATGATTGTCTCATTTTACCTTTTCGATTCGTCCTACTAAGATTGTCGCATACCTTATTTAGTAAAGTTTGTGTGGTTCTAAATCATTCCTACTTTATTCTTACTTAATCAATTCAATATCAATCACATAAACTCACTTTTATTAATAATCGTGTCACCTTCTCGTGTCCCAAACTTAGGGGGACGGAGGTAGTGGTTTGTAGTTGGATTCCTTCCACCAATTTCTACTGTCAAAATTTTCCAAGCCACCCAAATCGCTAAGTTACCCAAATCATTAATAGTTGTGATTAGTAATTTGGGGGTTGTGAATAGGCACCCATGAGTTACCCACAATACAACAAGAGGCACCCCATTACAAGTAGTGGTGGACTGGGACGGCCCAACCTTACACAGGACCCGACCTGGACCGATACTGTGCTGACTCGGCTTGACCCGGTCAACCAGGACCAGGCCCGATGACTCGAACCATGAGTAAAATAGGCGGCTACGGGCTCTGTTTTTTGGTGACCAGTTCAGACCCGGTCCGGGCCCAATTAATTTTTTTTATTTGTTTTTTTTTCATTGAGTTGGCTGCTAGGTGGGTAGGGCTGGGTGGTTTTGGGGTGGGGTGGGGGTTGGAATTAATTAGAAAAGACAAAAGAAATTATTTCATGTCCAACCCGACCCAGTCCCACGCCGGTTTTAACCTGGCCTAGGCCGATACTGGGCCTGAACATTTTGGACCCGGGGCCCGTTCCAGCTTGCCCCAGTTCCGGTCCACCCCTAATTACAAATGTCATAAGTTTTTCTTTTTGAAAGGACAAATGTCATAAGTTAATCACAAAAAAATAAGAAATAATGGCATAGATATTACTTCCCATGTTTTATTGGAAAATAATATGACCACTTTGAAAAAACACCGAAAAGTGACTAATTCTATCGCTGCATATCAATTATTCGAACCTATCTCCGCTGACCCAACTTCAATTCCCGTTCCACTTCCATCCCGCTTGTTCATCTTCCCCCAAGTCCCAAGCTTCCCATTCACCTACCACCCCACTTTTATTCTTCCGTCTTCCCTCT